AGGGTTTAGGGTTTAGGGTTTAGGGTTTACCTGGGCAGCCCATTCAAGCACCTGATCCACAGCAGCAATGGCGGAGGAAGGCGGCGGGTCTTTCGACTCTAAACCCTAAACCACAAACTGTAAACCCTAAACCCTAAACCCTAAACCACCAGCCCCAACCCTTAAACCTAAACCCTAAACCACAAACCCTAAACCCTACCCCTGAACCCCAAAGCCCTAAACCCTAAACGACAAACCCTCAAAATGAGCGCACAGCTCCACAGCACTGGCGTCCGCTCTGAACCCACACTAAAAACCCTAAACCCTAAACCCTAAACCCTAAACCCTAAACCCTCACTCGAGCAATGGCTAAGAAGTGACCTGCAGCTTCTTCCACTTCCCCCTCTTCGAAGGCTCCATTGAAAGTACGCATATAGTGCGCATAGGCAAACCTGCGCTCAAACCCTAAACCCTAAACCCTAAACCCTAAACCCTAAACCCTAAATCCTAAACCCTAAACCCTAAACCCTAAAGCCTCTGCTTCGAGGCCAGATGAAGAACGTTCTGAAGCGAACTAGGACGGCACAAGCCTAGGGTTTAGGGACTAGGGTTTAGGGTTTAGGGTTTGGGGTGTACGTACACCACTTGCATCAGTGTCATTGCAAGCCGAGGGTCTGGCCGAGTGGGGCGACAGCAAATATGCGCAGGGGTTTCTACAGATGGCAGCTCTACCTGAACACAAACCCTAAACCCTAAACCCTAAACCCTAAACCCTAAACCCCAAGTTCCTGCGTTCAAACGCCCAGTGGGCTCCTTTCGTGCGGTGAGGGTTTAGGGTTTAGGGTTTAGGGTTTACAACGCCATTTACTGCAGGATCCCCGTGTACAGAGTTTACGCCCACCCCCAAACCCCCAACACTCAAACCCTAAACCCTAAACCCTAAACCCTAAACCCTTACGGATAGCCACCAGGGTTTCCAAGGCTGCAGATACTGCGCTAACTCTCCGCGTTTGAGGGCAGCAAAAAAAGCAGCAGATTCTTTTGCTGTTAGGTGCTGCAGATCGAGGGTTCCTGCTGCTGCTAGCTGCTGCAGCTGCTGCAGCCGCTCCTTGCTTATATGCTGCTGCTTATGCTCCTGCTGCTGCTGCTGCTGCTGCTGCTGTGGGGAGTCTTCGTCGTCTGTTGCTGCTTCTTCTTCTTCGCTGGACCCAAACCCTAAACCCTCGATCGCTTGCTGCTGCTCTGCTGCTTCCTGCTGCTGCTGCTGCTCTTCTTCCTCATCATCTTGCTGCTGCTGCTGCTGCTGCTGCCTATAGAAGCGTGTTAGCTTCTTATTAAACTCCCGCTGCTCGTGCAGCGTTGGGGTTGCTGCTGCAGCAGCAGCAGCAAACTCCTCTTCATGAAATGCTGCCACACACTCCGAGTTGTGCTGCTGAAGGTCATACACTCCAAACCCTAAACCCTAAACCCTAAACCCTAAACCCTAAACCCTTGTATGGGCAGAGAAGAGAAAGTGGTTTAGCAGAAGGAGATGGTTTATTTTACCGCGTTTAATTAGGGTTTAGGGTTTAGCGACATCGCAAAAGAGGCTTAGGAAGGGGCGAGGGTTTAGAGTTTAGGGTTTAGGGTTTAAACTATAAATTAGGGTTTAACAAATTACCTTGTAACAAAGAAGAGAACAGTAGAGAAGCCTGCACTTAGGGCAGACGTATTTGTGCTGCGCGTCCTTACATCTGAAGCCGCAAACCCTAAACCCTAAACCCTAAACCCTAAACCCTAAACGCTAAATCCTAAACCCTTACACGTTCAGATCTACGGGACCCACGGAAGGCGGATGCAGTAATAGGGTTTAGGGTTTGGGGCTTAGGGTTTAGCTATTGGGGTTTAGGGTTTAGGGTTTGGGGTTTAGGGTTTAGGGTTTGTCGCTAGGGTTTAGGGTTTGGGGCTTAGGGTTTAGCTATTGGGGTTTAGGGTTTAGGGTTTGGGGTTTAGGGTTTAGGGTTTGTCGCTGCTTGACGTACACTTGACAAACTTTGAGATCCGATGTGAGGGTCATCCCGCAAATCAGGAAAACCCTAAACCCTAAACCTCCGGTTTAGGGTTTAGGGTTTAGGGTTTGCAACCGAAGGGTTTAGGGTTTAGGGTTTGCTGCCGATCCACTTGGCCTTTGAAGGGGTTTGGTTGGCGCGGTTAGTGGCTTAGGGTTTAGGCTTTAGGGTTTAGGGTTTAGGGCTTGCAGCGCCGCGCTGGAGACTGAGGTCGCGTCGAAGTTACGAATGGCTAAGAGTGTTTAGGGTTTAGGGTTTAGGGTTTAGGGTTTAGGGTTTTGAAAAGCAGAGTCGCCGTAAGGCAAAGAAAACGAAGCGAAGGCAATGATTCCAGCCGACACCAAACCCTAAACCCTAAACCCTAAACCCTAATCCTGGAGCCCAATCGGTCTCGGTCTTCGGCGTAACAGCGCCTTCCCTGTAAGTTAGGGTTTAGGGTTTAGGGTTAAGGGTTTGTGCTTTAGGGTTTAGCTAGTGGTCTTATGCGTGAGAAAATAAGGGATGGTGAATCAAAAGCAAAGAATTCTCAATAAACCCTAAACCCTAAACCCTAAACCCTAGCATGCCAGTCGAACGCATGCGGCTGGCCCACCAGGGCTGAACTGGATTAGGGTTTAGGGTTTAGGGTTTAGGGTTTAAGATTTTTTTATCTGAATTAGTTTCTGTGTGGTGAAATCTTTGGTTTTTTAGTGCTAGACATTCCCAGTGTGCAAACCCTAAACCCTAAACCCTAAACCCTAAACCCTAAACCCTAAACCCTAAAATGTCGGAGTTGCTAGAGTTAAACTTTCGCACAATTGATGGCCGCAACTTCTCGCTTCATCTGCCTGAAGATTTGGAGGTTTCGTCATTGTTAGAGTTGGTAGCAGAGTCGCTGCAGCAGCAAAGTACTGCTGCTGCTGCTGATTCTGCTGCTGCTGCTTCAGATGATGCTGCTGCTGCTGCTGCTGCACCTTCAGCAGCAAACCTCAGACTCATCTTTAGAGGGCAGGCGCTGCAGCCGCAGCAGCAGCTGCAGCAATACCGTATACAGTCTGGGCAGACTATCCACGTAGTACAGAGGCCTCCAAGACAGCAGCAGCAGCAGCAGCAGCAGCAACAGCAGCAGCAGCAGCAGCAGCAGCAAGATGAACAGAGACCATGGGCCCAATTCCCACTGCATGGAGGAGCATTTGTAGTTGCCCCAGGAACCTTCACGGCTGTGAGGCGGATTTAGGGTTTAGGGTTTAGGGTTTAGGGTTTATGTGGTGTAATTTGTACTTGCATGTTGTTTGCTGCTGACCTCTTGAATCCCTTAGTGTCTCGGGTGTATGCACGTACGTTTCATCTCTCCCATTCCCTAGGGTTTAGGGTTTAGGGTTTAGGGTTTAGGGTTTAGGGTTTAGGGTTTTGGCGCAGGAGGGAGGCGATGGGCAGAGCTCGCTGCCGCAAGATTTTGTCGGGGGTTTTCAGCGAATGGTTTCTACAGCTTTGTCTTCGATGCACGAAGCTGCTGCTGCAGCTCAGCGCCGCATGCAGCAGCAGCAGCAGCAGCGTCAGCAGCAGCAGCAGCAGCGTCAGCAGCAGCAGCGCACCATTCAAGCACCTAACGCTGTGCAGCAACCTCAACCTATACAAACAGGAGGCAAGCGATATGCTAGGGTTTAGGGTTTAGGGTTTACAATCCTAGGGTTTAGGGTTTAGGGTTTAGGGTTTAGGGTTTAGGGTGTAGGGTTTAGGAGTGGGAGCAAGGTTTCTCAGGCGAACCGCTTCCGGCTGTTGGGTCTATAAATGGAGGTTTAGGGTTTAGGGTTTAGGGTTTAGGGTTTAGGGTTTGTGCGCTGCAGCGGATGCAACGCCAAACCTCGCAGCAGCGCTTACTGCTGCAGGAGAGTCGCTTCTTGCTGCTGCTGCAGCTTTGAATGAACCTGCTGCTGCTGCTGCTGTTAGTGCAGCAGCACCAGCAGCGACAGCAGCAGCACCAGCAGCAACAGCAGCAGCAGCAACAGCAGCACCAGCAGAAGCAGCAACAGCAGCAACAACAGGAACAGCAGCAGCAGATACGCTTCCTTGGCATGCATTGGACAGACTGCATGAAGTTAGCAAACCCTAAACCCTAAACCCTAAACCCTAAACCCTAATGGAGTTAAGTCTTCGGTATGCTCCGTAACAAGAACTCGCCTGCTGCTTCAATCACACTTTGGGCTTGGGGTTTAGGGTTTAGGGTTTAGGGTTTAGGGTTTAGGGTTTAGGGTTTGGGTGCTTCAGGCTCTCGCGGAGGAGACAGGTTGGGCCCCACAGGAGCGACCGCTGCAAATTACATCGACAGCAACAGCAGCAGCAGCACCTGCTGCTGGTGCTGCTGCTGCGCCACAGCAGCAGCAGGAGCAGCAGCAGCGGCAGCTGCTGCTATTCCTTTCAGAGTTTGCTGCTGCAGCAAATGTGCTGCTGGCGCTGCTGCAGCAGACGCAACGCTGGCAGGAGGGCGGCAGTGCTGTGAGTGCTGCTGGCGCTGCTGCAGCAGACGCAACGCTGGCAGGAGGGCGGCAGTGCTGTGAGCCTTAAACCCTAAACCCTAAACCCTAAACCCTAAACCCTAACTCCCCTTGTTGTGACGGTTTGCATGTATCTTCTTTTATAGCTCATCTTTTACCAGGGTTTAGGGTTTAGGGTTTAGGTTTTAGGGTTTAGGGTTTAGGGTTTAGGGTTTGGGGTTTGTTGCGAGCAGATAACCTCTGGAGGCTTAGGCCGCACCGCTTCTGCAGCAGCTTGGCTTGCTGCTGCTGCTGCAGGTTTATCGAGGCATCTGGCGCTGCTGCCTCTGCTGCAGAGCCAGCAGCAGCAGCAGCCGCAGCAGCAGCAGCCGCAGCAGCAGCAACCGCAGCAGCAAGCGCCGGCCCAACAGCAACAGCAACAGCAGCAGCAGCAACAACTGCAGCAGCAACAACTGCAGCAGCAGCCGCCTCAGCAACAAGACCCCCATCAGCAAAGGGAGCGGCAGCGCTATTCTAGCAGCAGCAGTAGCAGCAGCAGCAGCAGCAGCCGCAGCAGCGAAGATTCTCGCGCGTACAAGCGGCGGCAGACAGATGAGTCTGCAGCAGAAGCAGCAGCAGCAGCAGCAGCAGCAACAACACCAGCAGAATCGGTGCCGCGCTCGATGCAGCAACAGCAGCAACGGCAGCTTTCGGAGGAGCAGTACCAAGGTTAATTCTAAACCCTAAACCCTAAACCCTAAAGCATAAATCTTTGCATCCTTCGTGCCGCCGACATTAGGGTTTAGGGTTTAGGGTTTAGGGTTTTGGTTTGTTCTCAGACTGCAAGGAAACTGGGAGCGGCGATGAAGAAAGGGGGTCGCAGCAGCATATACAGCAGCAGCAGCAACATCTACAGGAGCAGCAGCAGCAGCTGCAGCAGCAGCACCAGCAGCTGCAGCACCAGCACCAACTGCTTCAGCAGCAGCAGCAGCAGCACATGCAGCAGCTACAGCAGCACCAACAATCGCAACAACCACCGCAGCAGCAACAACAGCAACGACCGCAGCCTCAGCAGCAGCCTCAGCAGCAGCCGCAGCAGCAGCCGCAGCAGCAGCAGCAGCCACAGCAACGGCAGCAGCAGCAGCAGCAGCAGCCACTGCAGCAGCGGCAGCAGCCCCAGGCCGACCTTGCATGCATGGTGCGGAGCTTCCTCTCTTCTGCTGCTACATCTCAGCAGCAACCACAGCAGCAGCAGCAGCAGCAACAACAGCAGCAGCAGCAGCAGCAGCAGCAAATAGACGCAGAAGCACTAGCGGAGCTCCCAGTGGAGGCGCAGCAGCTCTTCACTTGCTGGACAAAAGACATGCGAGAGTTCTCTAGAAACGTAAACCCTAAACCCTAAACCCTAAACCCTAAACCCTAACTCCTAAACCCTTTTCGAATCCGGAAGGTAGTGCTTTGAGCGCCTCGTTCAAAAGCTGGGGATGAGGGTTTAGGGTTTAGGGTTTAGGGTTTGGGGTTCAGGTCTAGGGCTTGGCGTCTAGGCTCTAGGGTTTAGGGTTTAGGGTTTGGGGTTTGCAGGTGCTCTCTATCTCGCGGCGGCGGCCGTTTAGCTGCGCATACACCGCACAAACGCAAACCCCGAAGCCTGAAGCAGCAAGAGCTTCTTTCTCTCTCAGGTATCTTAAACCCTAAACCCTAAACCCTAAACCCTAACGGGCTCTCCTGCCTTGACTGGCCGCTACCACCTCTCACGCCCACACCGTAGCAGCAGCAGCAGCTTTTGCTGCTGCTGCTAGTGCTGGTACTGCTGCTGTTGCTACTGCTGCTGCTGCTACTAACACTACCGCTGCTGCTACTGCTGCTGCTGCTGCTGCTGCTGCTGCTGCAGGTGGCATGCAGCAGTGAACAGCGTTGGGGGCCCCGAGGAGCAGCGGCCTCCTCCTCTTGAATTAGAAGAAGAGTATTTGGTGCTGCTGCTGCGAGATGTTGCAGCAGCAGCAGCAGCAAACCCAGACTTCGAGCAGCAGCAGCAGAGATATCCCTTTCTTGCTGAAGCTGTGAGATGTCTACGCACCGCAGCTGCTTCTGCGCAGCTCCAGTAGTTACGCTGGTTGCTGCTGCTGCAGCTGCAGCAGCTGCAGCTGCAGCAGCAGCTGCTGCTGCTGCTTGTTCGCTGCAGCACCTGCTGTTTTGCTATCTCTTCTCTTATTCCCAACAAACCCTAATACTTATTTCTGCTCCAGCTGCTGCTGTTGTTGCTGTTGCTGCTGCTGCTGCTGCTGCTGTTGCTGCTACTAGCTGCTCTAGTGTTTAGGGTTTCGAGCGTATATACACCCCAAATAAAAGAGAAGAAAACGAGGGTTTAGGGTTTAGGGTTTAGGGTTGTCTCGCTGACGTTTGTTCTGAAGGAGACAAACGTCAAGCGGCAGCAGCTGTAGCAGCAGCAGCTGCAGCTGCTGCTGCTGCTGCAGCTGCAGCAACTGCTGCAGCAGCAACTAACTAACTGCGCAGGGATGAGGGCAAGGAGAGACAGAGACACAAGGAGACAGATAAAATAATAAAAAGAAGTTAAGAGATATAATAATAAAAACATAAAAAGATAATAATATTTAAAATGAAGATAAAGCCCTCCTTCATCAAGACGATAGAAATTTGGTGTGCAGCAGCGGGTCCGTCACCTGCTCAAACCACAAACCCTAAACCCTAAACCCTAAACCCTTGTCTTGCTTACTTATTAAGGATTATTACGGTTTATAAATCAGGGCTTATTAACTAGGGTTTAGGGTTTAAGCGAATTTATTATTTTAAATAATAATAAACGACAAGACAGACTGAGAACGAGGGTTTAGGGTTTAGGGTTTAGGAAGAAGGCGAGGCACAAGAAAGAGAGATTGAAGAAGCCAAACAAACAAACAACAAAACAGGATCTATAAACCCTAAACCCTAAACCCTAAACCCTAAACAACTTCAGGTGTACGTACATCTGCTATCTTCAAGACCACCCAAATCCCCAGCACCAACACAAACACCAAAGTTATGCTCATCCTGCACAAACGCAAACCCTAAACCCTAAACCCTAAACCCTAACAAGTAAACCCTAAACCCTAACAAGTAAACCCTAAACCCTATCCCTAAACCCTAAACCCTAACAGCAGCGTTGAGGGCTTCAAACGCCTCCGTTGGGTCTCTCCTGCAGCGAATGGTTACGAATCAGGGATTAGGGCTTACTTCAGTTTAGGGTTTAGGGTTTAGGGTTTGACGCACCAGATAACAATAAACCCTTTCTGGGCTCTGTCCTGATCATCGATGCTGATACCCGCTTGCAGCCGCTGCGAACAAACCCTAAACCCTAAAACCTAGACCCTAAACCCTAAACCTTAACGAGATGAGATTAATAAGATACAAAAGCCTAGAGTTAAGGGTTTAGGGTTTAGGGTTTACTCGGGTAGGTGCGCCGGCTTCTGCAAAGGGGTGCATCCCTCTAAGACCCTGATGAACGAACGCAAGAGCACAACAAACCCTAAACCCTAAACCCTAAACCCTTGCGCATGCATCAACGGTTAGCTGCTGCTGCCTTGGGGTTTAGGGTTTAGAGCGACGGCGTCGCAGCAGCGTTGCAGGAACGTAGGGTTTAGGGTTTAGGGTTTATAGCCTCCTCGTTCATCGCTTAGGGTTTTAGGGTCCGCTTAGCACACCTCTGCACTGGCTCCAGTAATAAGCCCCGTGCTGCTGCTGCTGCTGCTGCTGAAGTTGCTGCTGATGTTGCTGTTGCTGCTGAGGTTGTTGCTGCTTCCAAGCGCCAGCAGCAGCAGCAGCAGCAGCAGCAACGGCGCGAGGCGCTGTTCGCGTAGCATTGCTTTAGCTAATAGAGTAGCAGCAGCAGCAACAACAACAACAACTGCAGCAGCAGCAGCAGCAGCAACGGCGAGCTGCTCACACGACCCAGCAGCAGCAGCAGCTGCTGTCGCTTCTTTGATAGAGATGCAGAGGCTTTGAATATAAACAAATAAACATAATTTAAATATATTATAAAGTGTTATTTCTGTTGCTGCTGTTGCTGCTGCTGCTGTTGCTGTTGCTGCTACTGCTGCTGCAGCCCCGGTAACGACCAGGCCGCTGCTGCTGTTGCTGCTACTGCTGCTGCTGCTGCTGCATGCATGCAGCAGCAAAGACAGCAAAAGCTGCTTTTAATGATGCAACAGGATGCATACATACACAGAGAGGCAGCAGCAGCAGCAGCAGCAACACTAACGACATATTTATTGCAGCCACAGCAAATGCATCAGCAGCAGCAGCAGCAGCAGCAGCAGCAGCAGCAGCAACCAATGCAAGGGAAGACAGCAGCAGCACTAGCAGCTGCAACAACAGCTGCAGCAACTACTGTCTACCTCATTTAATCTGTTTTGCATGACTTGGGCGTCTACACCTTCTAGAAGACAGAAACCCTAAACCCTAAACCCTAAACCCTAAACCCTAAACCCTATACGCGTGTCGGCAGCGCTAGGCCGTGCTATCTGAACCCTAAACCCTAAACCCTAAACCCTCTAACAGCTGTCTCTTTACTTACCTAACAACAACAGCAGCAACAGCAACAGCAGCAGCAGCAGCAACAGCAGCAGCAGCGGCAGCGGGCACCTCCGCAGCCGTAGCAGCAACACCAACAGCAGCAGGAGCAGCAACAGCAGCAGCAGCAGTTAGAACAGCAGCAGCAGCAGCGGGAAAACCTGCAGCAACAGCAGCCGCTGCAGCGCAAGCTGCTGCTGCTGCTGCTGCTGCTTCGGAGGCAGCAGCAGCAACAACGTCAAGAGCAACGCTGTGGTTTAGGGTTTAGCATAACGACGCCCTCCTCTTCTCCCAAACCCTAAACCCTAAACCCTAAACCCTAGCGAAGATGAACAGCGCCGGCCCCCACGTCAGCCGCGAGTTCTTCGATCTCATCAAATTTATTGGAGAGGCGAGATCAAAGCAGGTAGGGTTTAGGGTTTAGGGTTTAGGGTTTAGGGTTCAGGTGAGGGTTCTAGTTCCGGGTCTAGGATCAAGGGTTTGTTTAGTGTTTAGGGTTTAGGGTTTAGGGTTTAGGGGATATGCAGGCGGGAGAGTCCCTGGGTGTTGCTTGAAAGAGCGCCTAGGGTTTAGGGTTTAGGGTTTAGGGTTTAGGGTTTGGGGTGTACGTGCAGGAGGAGGACCGCATAATAGCAAATGAAATAATTGTGCTGAAGCAGCGAATGAATCAGCCGCGGGTTTCTACAGTAAGGCCTCGCAAACCCTAAACCCTAAAGCCTAAACCCTAAACCCTAATCCAAACCGTAAACCGTAAACCCTTTCCCTAATAAACCCTTATCTGAAACTGTCAGTGGGTGCCGGAAAAGTGAAGCATGCTCTGACAACATGGTTTAGGGTTTAGGGTTTAGGGTTTAGGGTTTAGGGTTTAGGGTTTAGGGTTTAGGGTTTAGGTTTTAGGGTTTAGGGTTTAGGGTTTAGGGTTTAGGGTTTAGGGTTTACGCAGAGAAAGATGCAAGAGTTTGTTATTCGAAGCATCTACGTTGAGCTCCTCGGACACAGCGCTTCTTTTGCGCATATTCACGCAGTTAATTTGGCTAATCAAACCCCAGCAAAAGCAAAGTGGATAGGTAACAAACCCTAAACCCTAAACCCTAATTGTGTGTCCCCTACACAGTAGAGAGAGGAGACTCCGTTTACAGCTCAGCAGCAGCAGCAGCATTATCACACACACACACACGGATATGCCTGCTGCTGCTGTTGCTGCTGTTGCTGCTGCTGCTGCTGCTGCTCGGGCTGCTACAGCAGCAGCAATGCTGGGCAATGCCTGCATGACGCCTGTAGGATTTAGGGTTTAGGGTTTAGGGTTTAGGGTTTAGAGTTTGTGCATACAATTTGCGTTTTTCATTACTCTATCCTCAGTTATTATTGGGCGTTTTAAAATCTAAACTTTATACCCAAGGGTTTAGGGTTTAGGGTTTAGGGTTTAGGGTACAGGGTACAGGGTTTAGGGTTTAGGGTTTAGGGTTTAGGGTTTGTGGTTTGTGGTTTGTGTGTAGGATTTGCGTTCTCCGAACGTGCTGTATGTACACGCGGCGCTTCAATGTGTGTCTCGCCTTTTAACTTTAGAGATGCTTCCGGGTGTATGCGCAGCAGCCTCAGATTTGCTGCAGCATCCAGCAGCAGCAATTCGCAAGCATGCAGTCATGGTGCTGCACAGGGTCTTAGTGCTGCAGCCACCCCCCTTATCTATCTCTTCCCGCAGCAGCAGCAGCAGCAGCAGCAGCAGCAGCAGCAGCAGCAGCGGTAGCAGCAGCTTGGGTGACGCGCACCACCACCAACCGCAGCAACAGCAACACCTGCAGCAACAACACCTGCAGCAACAACACCTGCAGCAGCAGCAGCAGCAGCAGCAAGAACAGCAGCAGCAGCAGC